CTTTTCTTTTCTTTTCTTTTCTTTTCTTTTCTTTTCTTTTCTTTTCTGCCTAAAGTTATGTGTTATTATTTGCTTAATCTTAATTCCATGGTGAAGATATTCCAGTTTTCATCAATAACACTGACTCGAATTAATTACAGTTGGGTTTTTTTGTTTGTTTTTTTCTTATGTCCATTATTCAACTTGGCATGTGAAAATATGTTTTAAACACAGTAGTATCAACAGAAACTCAATCTGTTTAATTAGTGCACTTTAAATGAGAGTAATGTTTCATTTGGGAAGTGGACATTTTTGTCCACAGTTGCAGGTCGGCCTGCAACTACATAATATTCATTGTTTCAGAAAGGAGATTTAACAGATGCAAAATATTTGGCAAGAAAACAGTTGTTTTTAGGGATCAAAAAGAAAGAAAGAGAAAGTGCTGGGGGCCTAGCCTCCATTTAGGACATAATACTTGTCTCTACACACGAAAATAATTTAAATTACTAGTTGAGAGATCAGGGGTCCTGAACCACGATATGTACATTATTGTTGATTATGTATAGTATGTCATATCATTAAAAAAAATAAAAATGTTAATGGCACTGAAATTTCGAATTGGGTACCACTGTGCATAACAACTGACAAGCTATTATCTACGTTGATTAAAACTTCTAGTTCTAGTGTTTTACCTTCTCCAAAAGCAAGGAAAAAACAATTTGAATGTAGGCATTATCAGTATTTGTACTTGTAATAAAACCAGGAACAATCATAGAATCATAGAATAACTTTTTTGAGTTGGGAGGGACTCTTACAGACCATTGGGTCCATTTCCCCAGTGATAAACAGGGACTCTCACAGAGGTCAGAGACCTCAGACACCTGTCCAGCCTGGCCCTGAACATCTCCCCACGGGCATAGTGTTGTCTTGCCCCAGACCTGTACAAGACTACAAAGTGAGTCACCAGCTCTGGATTCCTACTTAGGAGGGGTCTGCTATCAGGATAGACAGCCAAGTCCCCATGTAAGCCCACTCCTCTAGGCATCAGCCCTGGGAAACGTGCAGCCAAACATTCTTCAGAAAAACATCTCAGAGAGATTTCTGTGAGCAATGGGGGACATTTGTTGAAGCAAATGGATGCTGGGTGAGCAATAATTCTCACTCAACAACCAGCCTGGGGACTCTGTTCTTTCTTCATTTCCATTCTTTCTGATGGAAATATCCTTGAAATTTAATTGAGTTTGAATGGAATTTTACACTTTTTGAATTTCCAATCTTATTCATCATTAATCCTTAAATGTGTATTCCACAGTACCATTAACAATTAATTAATTTAAAATAATCACGTATCAAACTTTTTTAAAATTCTATTTGGAAGGTAGGAGACCCAATTACAGGCATGGAACTTTATGTGCTGAAAACTGAAACTCAATTTTTCATTGCTCTTCAGCAACATGAGCAAATAGATTACCTCCTGCGATAAGTTTCTGACAGTCCCTCTTAGTTTGACAGTTATTTTAGAGAGTCACTTTTGTATATAATGAAAGGAAAAGTTGCCAAGCATATGTGCATATTTTATGCTTCTTAAAACTTAAAAGCTAGATGAAAGATTCCATCTTTAGTCATGCCATTCTAAATTCAGAGTATTTGTACTGTCCTCCAGGTTTACATCAATGACACAGAATGGCATCTAGCCCAAGGGCTGAATTATATTTCTTACATAGGAAAGGCAGCTTTTATAATAGAGTGTATCAGTTACTAGTTTGAACTTTTTCTGTGTTACTACATTCATGTGAAAATATGATGTGCATTTTCTCATATTGGCATCTTCTATGTATGCCAAAAGAGTTAAAAGCAATTTCTGTGCGTTTCCTTGAAACTGCAACATCTATAATGTTAATTGTCAAAGAGTGGAGATTTTTTCTTGTTAGTTCACTTGAGCTGCAAAAATACATTAAAAAAGTAAAATAAAACAATTAATACAAATTTCTAGTTTTAAGTTGATAGCTCTGCATTTACTATGTTTACATCTTCAAAAGATGGTGAGTCCCTTTAGGTGTTTTTGCAAATTGCTTCTTTTCATTTTTAAATGCTGCTGAAGTAGCAGCACATAATCACTGAAGTGAGATAGAGCAACCACAGTCCTTTTGATCCTGTAAGCTGTCTTTGGACAGCACTGTCTTTGGAAAGCTTGCTCATTAAATTTATGTATTTGAGTTCAGAAAAACGAAGATAAACAACAACTGGAAAAAACGCCTTTAATTGCCCTGCTGTGAAGCAGCCACTAAGAAATACATTGTTCACTTCAACGTGAAGCAGGATTTTATCAAAGGTTTTCACTGAGCACAAATACTGAAAACTCTATACTTCGTAGAATGCTTCCTTACTAAAGAGAAAAGTTTTGAGGCATGGTATCCAATATCTTTACCCCTGGTATATATGCATATGCAACAGTTAAGTTTCCATTCATTTAAAAAGCAAAAATGAGTTTTGTTTTATTTTGGTAGATTTAAAATAGTGGAATGACACAATCTAAGCTCTCATAATGGAGGATTTCATTTATTAAAATATTCAAGCTCTTCTAACACCTCTTTTTATGCATACAGTTTTGCATATAATTTAGGTACGTGCATTTAAACCAGCTGCCAAATGGAAACAGCTTTACCACAGAAGCAGCACACAGAAATAAAACA